CTCTAGTATAGCAACAGTGATCCAATGTTTTTTTTTCTGCCTAATGATCCTAAAGCACATTCAATATATGTTATTCATCTGAAATCTTAGCATTGTTCCAGGCATATTTATTGGTATTTGGAATGAACTTGCACAAATCCCCTTTGCTCCATTTCATAGTTTACTTCAATTCCTTTCTCTTTATATAGATCAGTGAAACCCTAGAAGATTTACTATGAGTAAATACTCTAGATGTAGGATTTGTTGGATTTTAATAGCAGGCACCTGCTGGTCATATAATTGGGATTATCTACACTGAAGTAGAAAAGAGTTTACAAATTATGTTTCTTTATATAGTCTCAAACCTCATACTCATTTATATCTATATTACTAGTTTGATAGCTAGCAGTGTCTGCTATTTTTATTTATATCCTGCTACTTTCCTAAAAGTGTTTAATTTACTGAATGCTCTTATGCAACCAAATAATAATAAAATAGAAATATATACATTAGACAGATCTTGAGGTTGGGTATACTTACTAAACCCTCGTAGAGACCTTCCCGGGTTACTTATCCAGCCTCAGTCCTCCAGTTCTTCTCTATCACAGCACCTGTAAGTTTCTTTCCTATCACTTTTAAATACTGATAATTAAATTATGGGGAAGTGGGAGAAGAGAAGACTATTACTTAGGTAAATGTTGGTGCCATGAAGATGGTCCCATGGCAGCTGATTCCAAATTGGAGGGGATTCCATCGAATCAAGCTATTTCCAAGCACCTGGAAAAGTCAATTAAGCAGGACATAATGGTGGTGTACGTGGTTTGAGAGATGTCACTGCAGAGTTTACAAACAGCAAACACGACACACCACCACTGAGGCATCAGTGACACACATTGCCTGGTACTCAGATTCAATGGAAGAGCATGAGTGACAATAAAAAACCTTCCTAACATCACACCCAGAGTCTCCAAGCCTAGTGGTGGAAGGTGAGTCACAACATGGGAGTTAAAATTTTATTTTTTCAGATAGACACTTTGAGACTCATTTGTTCCTACTCTTTCCATTGCAAATATTAAAATATCTTAGGAAATAATTAGATTTCATAACTGTGACTTCATGATCAAATTATTTAAGAAGTAATCAGATTTTGTAACTGTGACTCCATCATGGCCTAAGAAATCAAGAGGCTCTAAGGGATAAAGAAAATATACAAATTATGTTTTTGTATCACTTCAAGGCTTATGTCTTCCCTAATCTTTAAGCCCCAAGAAGAGAGCTTAAAATTAGAGCTTTAAGTTAGAGCATTAAAAAAATCAGTGAGTAGGATAAATATTATACTTATCATTGTTTGTACACTGACTCTATGTCCAAAGCCTGGAAAATACACCTGTTGGGAAAAAAAGGAAAAAAAAAAAAAAAAAGATCAACACATGTTAAGTAAGATCCAGAAGGTCAGGACAGAGAGCAGGGGTGGAAAGCAACTTGCAGTGCTATATCAAGTCTATGGTTGCAATGCACATATGTCTCTAGACTTCTTATCAGGAAAAAGAAAAAAAAGACCTAGATTTTTGAGAAATAAAAATAATTGGTAAGAAACGAAAATGCCTTCCAAATAGCTAATTTTATATAAAATATTCATGGCACAGAATGAGAAAAAATAAATCTTACCCACAGCTTTATTTATTGACCCACAACTGCTTCCATTATTCCTATTTTTCATCCAATTAATCAACATAAAACCAAAGTAAACTGACAATTACTGCACAAATTTGACTTACATAAAAACAATGTAGGCTAACAAGTAACTATACCAAATTTTTCTTTCATGTAACTAAACTAAATAACTATACCAAACAATGATACCAAACCATACTTTGTATTGTTCAAAGAAGTTTTTGAATGAGTGATTTCATCATGTTGACCTCTGAGATCCACAAAATTCAATTAAGCAATGAAAAAGTCCACTATCATGTTATCATAAGACAGTCAGTGGCTTAAATAATCCAAAGAGGTCTGGCTTTACCTTTCTTTTTGATTAATGGTTGCACAGAAATAAAGACATTTTTCTTCAAGATTTTTTAGTCAATAAAAGCTAAAAAGCTTCCCTTCATTTTTATAACTATAATAAAAAGTATGTTTGTAATTGATCTGGTTAAAATGCCAGGCAGTATCGGGTTCTTCTCAAAATGGATAGATCTGAGAAACCTTAGAATTTTTTAATTAGAGTCAATGAAAAAGAAACACAAATACTAAACTATTAATTCAATTTAATACCAATTAAAATATAGGCAGGAGGTTGGCATGAAAGGAAGGCAATATGGATCATTCACCCAAATACCAAAGCAATTGTTAACCATTCTGATAATGAATATTACCACTACCACTCTGAGGCAAGACCATGGACTTGCATGTCAATAGTACCCCTTCTGGTCTTGAATAAATTAAGAAGAGTCAGTGTGGTATTGTGATGAAGAGCATAAGCTCTGGGGCCGCAGGGTCCAGTTTTGACCTCTAGCTCAACCAGCTGTGTTATCTTGGATAATTTAATTGATCTCTCTGTCCCTCGGTTTTCTTATTTGTATAATGAGGGTAATGGCATACCTTATAAAGCTGTTAAAGAAGTCAACACTTAAAAAGAACAAATCCTACTTCAATAGAAGTAACAATTATTTCTACTGACTTGCCCTTTCTCTTAGCTTGTATATATTGCATGTTCCCAATGAACATGTACCCCCTCTGCACAAAGAAGAAGCATAATTAAAACTTGTATAAATACAATACTGTAGCTCATTGTTGATACGATTTTTTCTTGTAGAAATAATATTAACACAGTAGTAAAATACCTAACTGATGACTTATCACATGAATAAATACAGTATTAGTTACTTTTCTTTGAGTTAATTTTGTAGAGAACCACACCTCCAACACACACACACACACACACACACACACATTCCATCTTTGAGGCCTCCTATGTAAAGGGAGCGAGAAGGCTTCTGAATCATAATCAGGTCAGCTTTAATACTACAATGACTTTATTCAATACTTGATAGCTTTGCTCTGAATATTGTATACATGAGCTACGATGCTAGAATTTTAAAGTCATAAAATTTTAGTTTCATTTTTCCAAAAAAATATTAGAGTGACATTTGAAAATTATAGAAGCTATTAATTTGGGGGATTTTATCTAAATATATATGTGACTGAACTATTAAATTTCTTTTGTCTATTCCAATTAATTTGTCATATCAAATGTTTACATATTCCAGGGGCGCCTGGGTGGCTCAGTCGTTAAGCGTCTGCCTTCGGCTCCGGTCATGATCCCAGGGTCCTGGGATCGAGCCCCGCATCGGGCTCCCTGCTTGGCAGGAAGTCTGCTTCTCCCTTTCCCACTCCCCTGCTTGTGTTCCCTCTCTTGCTGTGTCTCTCTCTGCCAAGTAAATAAATAAAATCTTTAAAAAAAAAAGTGTTTACATATTCCAAATTCTTTGGAAAGACAACCTCAGCAAATAACTGGATGTCAAACACTCCTGTTTTGTCCAATAGACTTGAAATTCTTCCTTCTTTTTTTTCAGGGAAATTTGCCATTTTAGAAGTTTAAGACAAATCACTGACAAATAATAGAGATAAGGCATCTCTGAAATTTGTATGAGTCAATAAAAAATATGATTCCATTTAAAAAAATCAATTGACAGACATCTTTTGAAGAATATAGCTACTGCTTCAAACAGGGAATACATACAGTTATATTCCCTTCTATTCTTATTTCTTCCTGAATTTGAAACAGACTGAAAAATCTATTAACACTTTTTTTTAAGAGTGCCCAGCAGCATCTTAATTTTTAAGTAATGGTTGAATAAAAAGTGCAAACATATAAACAATTTAAATCCTAAAGATGGGAACTGCAATTTCTCCCTAACAGTGCAAGTCTTTTCACCAGATTCCTTTCTAAACCTTAACAAAATGCCATCTTTATAATTCTCTCAAACATATGCCATACTAAAAAACAGATGTCTTGATACTAAAAATACATTTAGAAACTGAGAAATTTCTGAATCTTAAGGATGATACAGTAGAACATATCAGTTACAAAAATGACTTGTACCTTGAAAACAAAAAAAGGGAAATTAACCATTTTTGTTAAGATATATAATCCCATTTTATTTTGTGCAGTGAATTTAAATCACTTAAAACATTAGAAACTCAGTTGCTATTGGTGACCTGCTTAATCTAGAGTAAAATTGGGTTTTTGAACTATTCGTTGGGGGGGAAGGCAAAAAATATATTAAAAAAATGTTTCAACTATGTAAGACCCATATCTAGACTTTTATTATTAACAAAAAGCACCAGAGGAAAAGAGTTCAAAATACAGGAGCTATGTGGTTCCTCATCTGCGATTGCAACCCATTTCATTATACTTTTCCAACATTTTTCTTAGACTTTCAAAAATACATTTTGTATAATTAGGCTTTGCTCAAAAACTGAAAACAAGACCCTTATCATTCTCAACTGAAATAAATTCTTCCAGTCCCTATAATTCATTCTCTAAAGATGTGAGAATGTTTGTTTCAATTCTTTTCAGGATATGCTGAAATAATCTTTCCTTTTTTCCCTCCCTTCAATACTAAAATGAAATGTCTTTGCATTATAACATATTTTCTTCTATCAGATTCTCCCTATGCTTTCTATCTTTCCTTTCTTATTTTAATCGCGTGTGACTTATTTGGGTGGGGGGAGTGGGTGAGAGACTGTTCTTGGTTAAGGACTGTTTTCTACCCAGTACTCCACTGCCCTCTAGTGGTTCCGAACTAAACATTTGGAGGCTCCCTCCATCTGGAATGCAAGACACCATTTTATGCTTCACTAAGAGACAAGGAATACTCCTGCTGAGTTATCACAGTGATTTTGTCTCACCATAAGAAAACATGGTCTTTATTTAGCCAAATTTTGTACGCTTTTTGTCTGAGTTATTTAAAAGTACTTGGATTCTTTTATAACATGCCTTATTCTTTTTTTTTTTTGCCTTTTCTTCCACTTTATTTCATATTCCCACCACAATAAGGACTCCTTTAATTTAAACTAAAAACCATAGAGGGTTCCTGAAAGGGTGGCAGCAAAGGATCGGAGATGTCAAAGACTGAGGGACAAGTGGGATGGGGAATCAGCGAATCGTCTTGACTGGGCTCTTGAAGTTGCTGGCGGCTTGGAGCTGCAGCTGGTAGGCCATTGGATGGATCTTGAAACCGTAGAGCCTGGGCACAAACTGGTTGGCGGGCCGCTTGGGCCGGTACTCGGGGTGCACCATGAAGAGCATGTGAGGGAAACCGGTGCCAAAGTAGGCGCCGTCCGTGTGATGGTGCCTCGATGACTTGGGTGTGTACACGTCCATGCACTTGGGGCAGTAGAGCTTCACCATGGCCTCACCTGGGATGTCCGAAAGGCCGATGGGAAGCATTGGCTGGTTCTCACAGTACACACGGGGACAGTAGCCAAAGTCTCCCTGCCTTATTCTTCACTAGTTTCCATTTTTCTTCCTTCTTTCCTCCCTCTCCTCATCCTTCTCTGTCAACATAATTTTACTTAGTGAAGGAGGACTTGTGAACTGTGGATAATTAAAATCATAATTAGTTATAAAGTTGCTTGTAGTAATTTCAAATTCTTCTTCACAAAAAGTTCAATTGAAGGGGCATATTAAATCTAGACATTACGTTGGACAAAGTCTGAGAATGCAGTGCCCTGAGTAAAATTTTAAAGACCATGAGTCACCCCTCTATAAGAAACTCATATTTGTGTTCTGATTATTTCCATGAAAGTAACCAGAGGACCAAAGGGTAAAAATACACCCTATTTTACCAAAGAGAAATTCATATTAAGCCTCTTGTATGATGTGATTTTTAATAACACTCCCTTTTGTTCTCAAAGTGAATTGATTTATGTAAAAATTATATGATCACCCTGATTAGCAACTCTCAAATCTTACTACTTAAATCCCCTAAGAGCAAACATAGTGCTTTCCCTTTTTTACCCTCTGAGCATTAATGACAAGTAGTAAAAATACTAAGACAAAGAGAAAAGCAAATTAGCGAACTGTCACCAACCATGGTCATTTAATTTATGTTTCATTGTTCTATATTTAAATGTTTGTTTCCAAAACATTTCTCTAGACTAAGATAAAGGACCCTGGAATTCACACTTTAACAATATGTAACATAAATCATTACCCTATTATAAGCATTATAAACTTTCATCTATAAAAATCAGTGCTCTATAATAAGCAATATAGATTTTCATCTCCGTGCCCTTATTTGTAGTAGGCATGTTTGAGAAGATGCATGTGAGAAGGATAGGCAGGAGCTAGCACAATGACTTTATAGGTTATTATGTTTCTGTAATTGCACTGATCTTTCTAAATTCAGGTGACTCGCCGTTTACATGAGAGAGTAGGACTATCTCTCACTCAGTACCATGTCATTTGCTCCCAGAAATTGAGTGTCCCCAAATGACTAAGAGTTTAGAACCTCATTTGAAAAATAGAACCTAAGTATTTTGTTTCTTAGGGACACATACCAGTTGTGACATTCTCAATACCATCGCCATTTCAGAGTTTATGATGTGTTTACAGAGAAGCCACCCTTACGGGAACCAGAGACCCACAATTTTCAAGCCTGTCTGGTCTCTGCTGCAGAGTAGCATATATGATCTAAAACTGTGACTTCTGAAGGTTTGGGTCCTTTCTTGCTTGAGAGTGACCTGGTGGCACCTATTGTTACAGCCCATGGATCTAGCTACTTCCTTCTGATCAAAGAAGTCCCATACATCACCTTGTCCTCATTCCCGCTGAGGCCTCTGCCTTTTCATGGACTCTCTCGTACATCAAATGCTCCTATTATTTACTGGAAACTTCTGGAGTCCCTTCACCGTTCACTTCAACCATAAAGAGCTGAGGTTGGGTTGCCTCAAGTTCATCAATTTAGGCCACCAAATCAAATATTATCCCTTCTCTTCAGAGAATATAAGTATATATATATATGTGTGTGTGTGTGTGTGTGTGTGTGTATTTTTAACTACAGAGAGGAAGCAAACCACCAATTAGTAAATCTGGCATTTGCCTTGCAGATTTTTGTTAGCATGTATGTGGAGCAATGATATTTGTTATTATAAGCAGATTTAATAGAAAACAAAAAGAAGAAAATGCAAATCGGAGGCCTAAATACAGTTCACAATCCAAATCCACATGGAGACCTTGCCATTTGGAACAGTTAATCAGTTAGAATGTAGAGATGTTGGAATATGAGTTCAGAATCCCTTGGAAGTACATTATCTCTTCATTATGTTTCAGTTACTGATGTTTGTATGAGAAGGAGAAACAGGGATTTACATTCTTACCAAATCAAACCTGACCAAGTTTGATGTCTTTAGATGGACAAACAAACTATGACAGCCCACAAAGCTGAATGTGATTACATTGAGTTTGTAGAGGAGAAAGTTCTTCATAAATCCAATAAATAAATTACTGGAAAGGATGGTTAGTGTGCCAATATTGAGTATGTGTCAGGACAGGTTTTTTTGTCTTTTTTTTAACCAAAAGGAACATAAATTTAAGATGTCTCTCAAGTTTTATGTCTTATCTGGTGTCACTTTGTCATTAGAACAAATTGTTCTTAGGTTAATTATACTCTTACCCCTTGCAAGGAATTTTTAAGATCAATTTTCTGCTGGTTTGAAAAATCCAGATTCAGAGACTACATGAAAACAACAGCTATCTAACCTGTAAATGAGAACACATTTTATAGTCTTATATTAAAGAAATAATATATTTATATGCAAGCAGCTATTTAATAAAACTTTGATTTAATGTACAACTATCCACTTGTTTTTAAACATTTTATAATTAGCTTTTCAAACTATAAAGTAATACAGGCAACAGGGGGCAACCAAGTAAAGCGATAATTATTTGCAAACACCAAAGTCTTTCTTTCTGCCTTTGATGATTTTAGAGCTGAGGCAGCCATTTTGCAACTCTGATGGAAAGGCCCAGAAATACTGGCTCTGACACATTGAGTCCTGAAGCAGAATTAGGCCCTGCGCATCTTCAGGATTCTTGTTATTTGAGGGAAAAAAATAAAATGATTTCTATTTAATCTGCTATTAGGAGATTTTTCAGTGACTTGCAGCCAAGCCCATTCTTAAATGATACCCAGCTTCAGGGTAACTTAGCAAGATGAAACAGAATTTCCCAACTAGTTGATATTAACATAAGAACTGGAAATCCATCCAGGTATAGGCTGTAATCCAAAGCCCAGTGGAGAGAGAGCAGTTTGACAGCAGGGAAGTATGTCCAGCAGAACCGGAGCTTTGGGCTGAGCAGCCTTCACATCATCCACAAGGAAAGAAGAAAATAGAAGCCAAAGAAGCCAGAGGTGGGCAGGGTCTCCTCTGGCTCTAGAAGAAAATGCAAAAGTAATTTAGTTATCAGATCTAAAATAAAGGTCAGAGTCAGAGGAAGGAAAGAGTGCTTCATGTATTTGACCACAGAAGCTCCTCAAAGCCTTAAAGGACCAGGAGAATGAGGCGATGAGATATAAACCATGGAAACTAGAAAATCTGAACCAGTTTATATACTATGGAAATAATCAGTAATATAAAGCATAAGTCCTACTAATTTGAGGTGCAAATAACTAAAAATTGTAGTATTAGCATTAACTTGGTTTAGATTATCAATAGTTTTATTGGTGATCAATGACCAATAATCCATTTTGTCTGTTAGATAAGAGTCATAATTTGAATTTTTTTAAAAGATTTTATTTATTCATTTGAGAGAGAGAGAGACAGAGAGATACAGAGAGGAGGAGCAGGGGGAGGGGCAGAGGGAGTGGTTGAGGGGAAGCAGACTCCCCGCTGAGCAGGGAGCCTGACACAGGGCTCAATCCCAGGACCCTGAGATCATGACCTGAGCTGAAGTCAGCTGCTTAACCGACTGAGCCACCCAAGCACGCCATCATTTTGAATTTTTGTTTTGTTTGTATTATCTGTGGGGTGGATGGAAGACTTAGACTAACATATAATGCTATAACACATTCCTTCAGTAATTTTAAATCTTCATATCTTTCCTCACACTGTTGCTTTCTTAGAGATTGGTTTCCCGCTCTACCTTCCACAATATACTTCAATGCTATCTATCTGACATAAATCAATTTCATTCTACTCATTCTTTGAATAATTGTAAATGGACCCCCTAGTTTTTGGTAGAAAATGTGGACGGAATTGTGAGGACTTTGATATTGCCTCAGCCCTCCCAGAGGGCCCTTTTGCTTTTTCACATGGGGTTCCAATTGTTCTTACTAAGGCTTCAGAAAAGAATCTACTACTGTTAACACCTCTAGCCACCTAACAGCAAAGTAATGGAGATGCTGAGTGGTTTGATTTTGTTTTGTTTTGTTTTGTTTTGTTTCCAGTGGTATGTTGTGCCACAAACTGAAATTGCAATGCAAAGTATATAAAACAGCTTACATTCTAGTCTGCCTGGCAGAAGACAAAACAAAACAAGACAGGGAATTATGTGATGGAGAGGCAAGTGCTACAATGCGGGAGCAACAATGGCTCTCTGGGAGTTCGTAACTACAGGACCTAACTCAGGTCTGAGGGTTCAGTAAAGATTTATGGAAAATATAACATCTAGGCTGATAAAGTACACATTCAGAGATATCAATCACATCAAAGGGGCTTAAGGGCAGTGAGCTGGGTGGAGGAACCTGTCCGTGCAAAGGCTCCTTGGTCGAGAGAGTGTTGGGGAAAGTTAAAGATGCAAGAAATAGGAGCATACTCAAAGTTTCCTCAGTCACCGGAAATTTATTATAAATGTAAATGGAAAGTGAAAAAGTCAACAAATATTCGTAAGTGTCACAGAGCTAGGTCTCATGAAAAATATATAATGTGGTTTAGAGAGAAGCATTTGAACATAACAGATTTATTGAGAGATTAACTTGTGTCCATCTCGATTCTGAGTACCAAAGCTACAGTGATGACAAAGGCAGACAAAACCTCCACCTCCATACTCATTTTCTATTAGCTAGCAACCAAAAATAAACAAATCACACACACAAAAATTAAGTGAACAAACAAACAAACCCACAAAGAATATCCGGGGTGCGCTGGAGATTTAAAATGGGTGATGTGCCAGGCAGTGAACCGATAGTTACTTAAGTTTGAGTGTGACTGAAGGAATCTTTGAGGGGTGACATTTAAGTTGAAAACTAAATGTCAGGATGGATCCAGCCATGCTAAAACTAGAAGGAAGAACAACCCAGATACAGGGAATGGGCATGCAAAGACGTGGTGGCAGAGGTAGTCTTGGCAGGTTAGAGAAACAAGATGTGGACAGTGTGGTGGCCATAAACGTCATGGAGTAAGAAGGACCAAGGCTTTGTGCTGTAGGCAAGGAGTGTGGATTTTATTTAAGTATGATTAAAAGCCTTAAGAGGGTCTTATAAAAGAAACA